GCAATAAGTACAGGATATTTCGGATTGTTCTCGGCCTTTTCCTTTTTGATAAAGTTCCAACGCTCGATAAAATGACGCGCCACGTCAAGGGCGGGTTTACCAACCTATAAATGCCACATACTTAGTATATCAGCCTGTCAGTGCCGTTTATGCAACTAGTCATATTTACTCACAAAGCCTATTGCCACATCGTGCCATGGCATACGGGCGACCTCTTTCTTATCAACGAGAGTTTTCATCCATTGGTCGACTGAAAAGCAATTGCAATTGGTAAGTAACGAAATAACCAACTTATCATGAACTCATGTTTCTCGACTATAACCATACCGTTGGCAAAATCACAAATTCTGGGATTGGAATAATCCTGTCCTGGCCAGATTTCCATGCGATCTGAAATTTCCGCGTTATCTACGAGTTGATGACTGTGAGTATCGTAACGCCCGAAACAGAGATCCAGGCCGCCTATGAAAGATATACGTCTGTCGATGACAACCAATTTCTTGTAGAAATGGTTGTTTCGAGTCAGTCTCTACGGTATTTTTAAAATATCACATTCAATAAACAAATTATCACCTCATGATGCTATAGAAGTGGCATTATAAATCAAAAAAATGTACATATGAGTTAGTTATAGGAATGAACTGATACAACATGAGAGAATCCTTTAAATTAGTTTTACCGTCCACATATAGTGTGTTCCTACTTCAGCAATAAAGTCTGGATGCCTTTGAACTATACAGTAATTGATAAATTAATTACATCATGTCATCACGGTTCCAATCCAAATATTATGCCAAATAATCGTACCCTTAATGTTCGGATGTAAATTTTTCAGCGCCGACTTGCTGTGTTTGGAATTCTGAGTGCCAGTGGTAGGATATATTTCTTTGTAAATGGCAATATAAATTTGCACGCCCTCTTCTGCCTTCCTCTTCAAAAGACGATCGAGACGAAAGTTTTCATTTTTGGAAGGTGGTCTTCGAAGGTACTATGAAACATACATCAAGTAATAATTCATTCAATTCCTCAACTGTCCACAAGTTACAGTAACTGATGTGTGTATACTCACCAATTCAGGGGAGAGCCACCAGTCTCCAATGAAGATTTCTTTTTTAGCCGATAAGAGCGCCTCAGAAATGGCGTAGAAATAATCTTTCGCGTCAACATACCATTTAATGTGGACATTTTCTCTTATCGCAGCAAACGAGCCATGTGGATTGTTTTTTCCAAACTTTTCGGCGTAGGTCTCCTCATCATAGATCAAACTGGAGACGGCATTAACTGCAAGTCCAGCAGCATTACCCACAGCGTCAATTATTGTGCTCATTTTGTTGAAGAATTCGTTAAAGGAAGAGCTGGCTCGATGAAGGAGAATTGTAAGAACTGCCGCCTTTTTGTATTCTGGGCAGAAGTCACAGCGGTTGTTACGCACGGCTAACGGATGTCTTTCCTACAGGTAGCATCATTGACTTGTCTGATAGCGATTATGCTTTCCTCTGTGACCATATGAAAGATTCCCAGTTTGTGAATTAGAATAAGAAAACGATAACTGAAGATCAGTCTCAGCTCGTTACACGCTTGACCAGGCTCTTTTTAATTACTTATAATAGAAAGCACAGGGTTTCGAGTTTCGGCCCGATAATTCCGCCCTGGATGACCATAATACAGTCAGTCTTGATAAGTCGGTCTTCGATTTTGGCTCAAGTCGGCCAAAATCTTTTCTACATTCTTTTCACTATTTAAAAATTCTCGATAAGTCGGTCAATCTATGTAAATTCTCGATAAGCTGCAAGTCGGCCAACAGCTCCAAACGAGTCTTAGTTTGAATGCATCTCGATAAGTCGGCCTCACGTGATAGTTGTATAATGTACCAACTACCCCAGGATCACCACCAAAAAATTTACGGACACATGACTGCAGTGGGTGAATTTATGGAAGCAAATTTTAATTTTTACTAAATTTATGTTAAACTCAAATCTTACATATATAAATAATCACGTGTCCGTAAATTTTTGATGGCGATGCTGGGAAAAATATAATGTACCGGTAACACATATTCCGCTCGCAGCGACATTGATTAATGTTGATAATAATTGTACTTGTCCCAACTAATCTGTGAATTAAAAAAAGGGTAATGCCCTTTCGTTCTTGGCGCAAGATACAAGGTTCAGAGCTCGGAGTTTTCACACTAATAACATAACACAACCACACAAAGACATTCTAGAGCAGGATTTTGTTTTGGTTCATGCAATGTACGTTGAACCGACTACTGATGCTGTTTGTAATTAAAACAACGTTGTGATTTCTATTTTTGTTTATTAGCGACCAGCGAAATGCGGCTGTGCGAAAGGATTTTGCCACAACCGCAGTAAAATGCGTTATTTTGGTTACCTTTGTTTTCTGCGGCGGCCAATAAAAATTAATTATCCATTTCACTGTTTGTTTTCTCACATGCAACTTTGGAATGATGCTAATGACAATGAGGAATAGTTTTCTGTTATAAATTCGAATTTCTCTGAGACTAGGACGATAATGCATACTGATATCAGAATGTTTTACTGCAGCATGTTCGAAGCTAACGAGGAAAGGAAACATGGCGCATCACTGGTTTCTTTGTTTGGGAATGCAAATATTACGGACAGCGACAAGCTAAATTTGTCCATCACATCATCGTGTTCGTGTAGCTATTTTAATCCCATACGTAATATACATTGTTGTCTTTCCGATTAGAGACAATACATACGCACACGTACGTTATTGTATGCGTCATTCTTTAGTAAATGTGTACAAACATTGGTACGAACAAGGCCTTCACTGAAATATAAGGAAACAAGAAACAAGAAACAAGAAACATGTGATCGAAATACAATATAAATAATGGTGAGAGAACCCCACTCATCTCGAAAACAAGATTTTCTGTCAACATGGATAGACCAACGTTTAATGCGACACGTAACGATCTGATTGATATGATGTGAGTGATTTACAACACAGTTGCACGACATGCCCCCCAAATTTTTCTAATTTTTAAAAAACTTTCGCGTGTATTTT